AGAATGGGGTGGAATTCAGAGGGAATTGGATGAGTGAGTGGTACCAGATTTCATTCTCAGGCATTTATAAAAATGGAAATTAATCTCCTGAAATTAAAATTCCTCAGGCTACTAGGAAATAGACCTATTTCAGGCTCTGAAGAATTTTTAAAGCGCTGAGAACTTCAAATTGTCTTAAAAAATGAATGACTTTCCAAATTTTTTGAAGACTGATTAGCTTTTTTTAAAACTGCATGATTATAAGTATCAATCTTTTAATATAGATTTAGGAAGTAGTTTTCGCTCAAGTTCTTTGATTTTTATTTACTTTACAGATGAAAGAAGCCTGAGAATTATAGATCTAAAAAAAAAAAGTGAAAATAAGAAAACAAGCAGAGAGAAAACAACAACAAAAACTTTTAGCAAAACTGTAGCTAGTCACAGGGCAGGCCCTGCTACAGTATAGATGATGAGTAGTTCTGACATTTCTATCATGGGCAACTTAATATTCACACATTATGTTGTCCCAGCTCCTAGACAGAAAGGGATTAAGCTAAATTCACACTAGCCAGTGGAAAATGGTGTTGCTGGGACAATCAGGCTGGGATATGTCAGGAGACATAAGTTCTTCTTACTGCTACTTACTGCTTCCTCACACATAACCATTCCTGTGTGTTCGATGCTGTGCCCATCACCTGTCAGATATTGTGTTAACTGCTGAGAAATCAGATGCGTAAGAAATACCATCCTCCCTCAGTACTATGTGGTCAGATTTAGGAACAAGTGTAACACTTACTTCTTTATTTCTATTCTTATGAGAAACATAAATGAAGTGCCTTCCAGTTTTTAAGGACTAAGGACAAAAAATCTTGCACAAGTCCGTGTGTCTCTTAAACACTGACTCAAGAGTTAGTGTTACTTGCTCAGTCATGTCAGACTCTTTGTGACCCTATTGATGGGTCGACTAGGCTCCTTTGTCCATGGAATTCTCCAAGCAAAAATAGAGTGGGTAGCCAGTCCCTTCTCCTGGAGATCTTCCCAAACCAGGTCTCCTGCATTGCAGGCAGATTGTTTACCATCTGAACCAGCAGGGAAGGGGAAATATGAAGATGGACAAACAAAGAATAGCTGTTGGGCCAGGAAACATAACAATTTAGACTATAAATTAGCCACATGGCAGAATCACCAAACTCCCAGTTTCTTGAAAGATACAGATAAAGTCCTGACACACATTCCTAAGTTGGTTTTATTGAAAGTGGACTCCAGCAGATGAAAACTGCTGATCACAAGAACATAGACCCTGCTGCTGCTGCTGCTGCTAAGTCTCTTCAGTCGTGTCTGACCCTGTGCGACCCCACAGACAGCAGCCCACCAGGCTTCCCTGTCACTGGGATTCTCCAGGCAAGAACACTGGAGTGGGTTGCCATTTCCTTCTCCAGGAGCATGAAAGTGAAAAGTGAAAGTGAAGTCGCTCAGTTGTGTCCGACTCAAAGTGACCCCATGGACTGCAGCCCACCAGGCTCCTCCGTCCATGGGATTTGCCAGGCAAGACTACTGGAGTGGCGTGCCATTGCCTTCTCTGAACATAGACCCTTGGTTGAAAACAGAAGGTTGACAATGCTTAAAACTTCACATTGATACCAACTAATATGGGACTTATTCACAAGCTGATCACATCCTGGTCCATGAACACTATAAAACTCCTCACTACCCACTGCAGGGAAGGTCACAGTCTTAAGGACATTAGCCGACTGTGGCCTCCTTTGCCTGACAAATCAATAAAAGCTACCCTTTTTTACTTCACCCAAATCTTTGTTTCCACATTTCTATTTAACACTGGTGAACAGAGTTCAGGTTTCGATAACAGATATAACATCCTGACACTTGTCCAGAAGCTTTTCAGACATGGAGAATATAAATAATTTGAAATCAGAGAGTAACTATCAGAGAGAAAAGTGAATTAGTGTGATGATGAAACAGATCAGGACCCTATGGTCCTTGCCCCCGTGTCCTCAGCCTGCCTTTTGTCTGTGGAAAAGCTTTAGTCAAAGAATAAGTTTAATCAGAGAAGTGAGAAAAAAAGCAGAAACAAAGAAAACCATCAAAGGAGAATGAAAAATAATAGTTTAGCCATTAAGCATAGTCGAGGACCTCTAGTGCCTCCTCAGATAGCGCTAAATCATATCCAACTATTGTGACGCTATGGACTGTAGCCCACCAGGCTCCTCTGTCCATGGGATTCTCCAGGCAAGAATACTGGAGTGGTTTGCCATTTCCTTCTCCAGGGGATCTTCCCAACCCAGGAAATGAACCCAGGTCTCCAGCATTGCAGGCAGATTCTTTACCAACTGAGCTATGCGGGAAGCCCTCCTCAAAGGCTATCGACAATATTTGGAGCCATATTTGTGAGCTGTCTTATAGATACTGAAACCCCCACCAGATGGAAGAAGTTAACACCATAATGACCAGACCGTAGTAGCTGTGACATGAGCTGCCACGATTCCCGAGAAGTGACCTCAAAGAAATGGGAACAAACTGACCCTGGAACTAAAGACTAACTGTGCTTAAAACAATCAAGGTGACCCTGGTTCAACTACCAATGACCAATATCGAGACGACTATCAGAGCTGATGGTGCAGTTTCTGCTTGTACTCCTCTCCCTCTGTCTATAACTTGACACCCTGATTGTCAAGTTTGGGCAAGGGAATTGGTCTTTGGACAGGCATCCACCCTCTCCCCTGGTTGCCTGCTAGCATCCAAAATAAAGCACACTTTCCTTTCCACCAATCTGGCTTCTTTAATGGATTTTGAGTACTGAACAACCAGACCTGGGTTTGGTAAAAATGAAGGGTCAGAGGAAGAAAACTAATATTAACTAAATACTTATTATGTGTCAGACCTTCTGTCTGGCCAAGGATTTACACCAAATACAATAGTCAGAAAATAGTCTAAAATTCTAAAAATACAATTCATAAAAAGAGCAATCTCATAACACAAGCCACATTTGGGTAGGATAAAATGTTTCATGAATTGCTAGGAGAAAAGACTTTATCCCTCAGGTTCTCCTCATATGGAATAAATCCTCATTATGTTAAAAATTCTTTACATATTTAACAGTTTATTTTTGGAAACACATGCTAATTTTTACTCTTCCTCTTCACTTTAGTAATAGTGATAATTAATGTGAAATGTAATAGGAATAATGATCATTCACATTCCTTAAACTGGGACTCTATATACTGGTGGAGCTTCCTGGTGACTCAGGAGCTGGTGGCTCCTGCAATGCAGGAGACCTGGGTTGGGAAGATCCCCTGAAGAAGGGGATGGCTACCCACTCTGGTATTCTTGCCTGGAGAATCCCATGGACAGAGGAGCCTGGTGGGCTACAGTCCATGGGCTCACAAAGAGTCAGACACAACTGAATGACTAAGTATGCATGCATATGCTGGTAGAATTGCTATAATTTAATTTAGAATTCTTACAAATATTGACAAAACATCTATGTATTTGACTATATATGAATAAAAGAAATAAAGGAACTTAGAAATATCCTCAAGCATACTTTTCAGTGTTTCTTATAAAATATACAAATAACCAAAAAAATTTGCCTTAAAAGGGGTAAACCTAATTGCAAAAACCTCCAATAATTATTAGCTCTGACTTCAGCTATGTAGTCATCATTCTGACCCTAAAAAGATATGTTCTGACAGCACATCAATTATACATACAAACACAGAATCACATATGGTATTTACTGCATCCAGACAAAGTTAACCTCCTAACTCTGGTAGCTATTTTATAACTTACTTGCTATAAGGGAAAAAATACCCCAAATGATATACTATTAACCATAGTAGTGTTATAGATAGGAATTTTGACTCAAATAATTGTATTAATAGTGCACTTCAGAAAAATTAGAAAAGTTGATAACAGTATATTAAACACAATAGGGAATAGGATAATGAGATAAATAAAAGTAAATGCTACATGTTAAAAGATTTACTAGTAAAAATTTATCAGCAACTTGAAGATAGCAAAAGGATATTTATTAAACATAACACTCAACGTCAATTAAATAAAATTTTGTCCTCATCAAATAAGGATGAAAACATTATATGTTTTTAGGTATCTCAGCAGGTGGGACCATTTTCAGTTTCTATGCTGATTTCTTCAGTCTCTGAACTCTCCTAGTGCTTGCAGTCAGACCTAAAGATTATTTCTTTATGCAAATACTTTTCAAATATGCTGAATTTTCATTGAGTTCTACTTATCTTCCATGAAAACAGTTAATAAATGTGAAGCACATTATAATCACTTTATTGCTGAGCACACAATAGGCATTCTGAAAATAACAAACTATTGCTTGACCAATATATTAAACTCTTTTAAACATACACTTGGCTGCCCAAAGAACAGTTTCTACATAAAACCTTGACTGTGAGCCACAACTGTTATTTATGAATTTCCCTTTTTATTTTTGCGAGTTGAATTTTTTACTGTTTCAGAATTCTTAAACTCTAACTTTTAGACAAGATAATTTTCACTTTAATTCAAAGGGAGCAAATATACATAAAGGTCAATAATGGCCCATATAAAATATGTTATGCAGTCTCCCCTCAACCAAATTCCCTTGAAAAAGATAATACAATATTAGTTTGTATTCATTAATATTGCTAAGCAATACTTTGCATTTTTTCAATAAATCAATAAAATATATATTTTTAGAAATTGTAAATATCCAAAGTCTCCCACTTTAAACATTTAAACCATTTCTGTGAAACTCTAGAGTGATGTCATTAGAAATATTTACTTTTTTACTTCTTGTGAATACACGGACAGACGGAATGAGTAAACATGTTTTCTCAAAGTGCAGACCTTAAATATTTCACTTCAAATTACTATACATCCTGATACAATGTTATATTTGTTTCTTTATGGGCAAAATGATACAAGAATGTTATTATAATAAGTTGAATGGATTTTGCTGAGAGTGGTTCTCTTTGAGATGAACTCAACCAAGTTCACATTTTAGCATCTTGCAGGAACCTAATCAGAAAAACTTAAAGACAATTTGCAAAAATATTAAATGTAAGACTGATTTAAAAATGCAACCATACCTTTATAAATTCACTTCTCCATTATACATAAGAGGGACTAGAAGACAGAAAATTCATCACTAATGTTGATAAGTAAAAGTTCATCAAGCGGATGAAACAAAGTTAATCAAAGTGCAATTATGTGTGTATTTGTTGTATAACATAATTTTTCTTTTGGTGCTTCCCCATGACTTTCTATCAAAATTAGAGAGAAATCTAAAAGTTGATGCTCATCGGATCACTCACCTTATGTGGGTGATGAGGAGTGTGGTGGTGGGAATGAAGAAATCGTCCACCCTGTCGAACTGCTTCCCCACAGGCTGGGTGTGGATGGTGTGGTGTGGTACATTCCCACTGGCCAGGGTTATCACCTAAACAGAACATTGTGTTCAGATCTCGGCTAAGCATGTCCTTAATAGGATCAGAGATGAAATAAATCCTTGGCATTTGTTTGCATAGACTCTTTATTTAAAACCTTAATATTAGTGTATTATTAAGCAAATTGGAATTCTGTTTGCTTATTTCAATGTAGAAACTTCTGTTTCTAAAAAGGAAAAAATGGAAAACATTTTTTCTTGAGCAACTTCTGCTTAAAATATAAAATAAATTTATGTTGCATATTGATAACAGATTATAAAAATGTTACTGCTTTAATAAGAAATATAAAAACAATCATACATATAATGCAAATTATTAAATTTGTTTCTTTTTCTTTGTTCCTCCCTTTTCCTTCCTTCCTTCATAGCTTCATTGAGGAGTAAATGATATGTAAAAAATTCCCCTCCTGTGGGAGAAGGTGAGGGTGGGATGTTTCAAGAGAACAGCATCAAAACATGTATATTATCTAGGGTGAAACAGATCACCAGCCCAGGTTGGATGCATGAGACAAGTGCTCAGGCCTGGTGCACTGGGAAGACCCAGAGGGATCCAGTGGAGAGGGAGGTGGGAGGGGGCATCGGGATGGGGAATACATGTATATCCATGGCTGATTCATGTCAATGTATGGCAAAAACCACTACCATATTGTAAAGTAATTAGCCTCCAACTAATAAAATAAAATTAAAAAAAATTCCCCTCCTATAGAACAGAGCTGGAAACACAGGACAGAAAACTCCAAAATATATCATTGGAAATATTTTTGCTGTTAGAAATCTTAGGTTGCATTATATTTTTTTTCTTTAATAAATTGAAAATAATAGATTTAAGCAAGTTTAATCAAAGATTTTTGTCAAATACTCACCATTAATTGATTTTAAAACTTTCATAGTTCTTTAAAGAAAAGACCACTACATTTAAGCTCTTTTATCCCATTTTGCACCATATTCTTTGTTTTTCCTTCTGATTTCTCATACCTCTACATTTGTCCTATTGTCTCTGCTTCACAACCATTGTTCCATATGAGCCTTTTGATGTACTTGCTTGCCTTTATTTTACTTCTTTTAAACCCTTTCTATGTGTGGTTACCAAACTAAACATCCTAAACTCCTGACTGCCTGATAGACTTTCCTCCCTCAAAACTGAGTGTCTTCCTTTGGTTTTTAAGACAGAAGTAAATAGCATTTTTATTTTTAGTTTTTTTCCCCTGAAAGGTTAATTTTTCTTCATTTCAATGAGTATGTTTTCATTGAGTTCCATGGGAAATTGCCAAGTTCAAGAAAATAGATTATTAAAACAGTCAAGATAGGTTCAGTCATGTTACAATCAAAAACAAAAACAGAACAGAAACAAATCCTTACTTCTTTATTTTTTAAAAATAAGCATTTTGTTTTATGCCTGTACCTGTTACTTTCCCAGAGGTCTTTGGCCGGATATCTATTGCTTTTAGTATTTTTATTCAGTTTTCTATAAAGAAAGAACAGCCAACTACCTTGAATATTTCCACTCATGGAAGACTTATTTTGCCAGAACTAATCATATGGCTCCACTCAACCAAAAATATGCCTCTCCCCTGCCATGTGCCCAGGAAGAGAGAACCAACGTACGTGATTAAACTTTAAAGACATTGTACCTATTTTATTCATGATTATCTTATTAATGAGTATCAGTGAGAAAGTCCTCACTGGCTTTCAGCCACTTTTAATAATGTCTACAAGACTATAATAAAACTCAACAGGGTTATAACAAAGGAACTCTTCAAAATTTTTCCCATTAGGTTGTACAGAGGTATATATTTCTCAGTATGCATGTACGTGTATTTGAAATTAATAATAGTACTGACTGACGACAGCAATAATAATACTGAGAGCTTGTTATGTGTTAATATGTGTTCTAAGTAGTTTAGAGGCATCATGGAAATTAATACTGAAACAACCCTATAATGTGTGCATTGCATCCCACATCATTCACCCTCCTGAAGGCCGATTAACTGAACCTCTCTTCTGCACTTGTCATTGTCTTAGATTGTAAAATATGAAAGCCACACCCCCAGTTCCCTTCAGTCTGGAATTTTTCCCCTGATGGGTCAAGGCCCTTCTCGCTCCTGGAATTGAGCAGGAAGTGGTGAATTGCCAGGTTTGTGACTGAGTCTACTGACTGCAAGGACACAGGCTGATCTGGGATGCGCTTTGATCAATAGGTACAATCTTGCAAAATTCCTGGCTCATTAGAGTGTCCTGGCTGCTTGTCTCTCTGTGTGTGATGGTGCAATAAACAGATGCCCCTTCCCACTGTCGCCTCATCTGACTGGGCCTATGTCCTGGCCAGTAGAAGAATGCAAGGACTTTATTCCAAGTTGTTCACTGGAGATATTTTCTTGTCCAATTGTTGTGTATTTGTAGTACAGACACTGCATTTATGTTGTAAAACTGCAGATGACTGACACATGAGTTTTAGAATTTTATGGAATTTCTTGTTTTCATAAAATATAAATGCCCATTGAAAAGAAAAAAAGATAATTATGATAAATCTTTGAGACTTTATCTTTAGAACAGTAGATGGAAAATTATTGTCTAAAATACTTAAAATTAAGACAGTTTATGGGTTTATATTAATTAATTATAAATATCACATAAAATAATACATAATAAATGTTGCTTTCAGACCAGACAAAGACATACAGATTTAATTATATTTTCAACATGAAAACACAGAGAAGGGCTTTTAGATCCTTCATAAAATGTTGTGCATGTTTAAGTTTAAGAGGGTAACATTATAAGATACAAAACATTCGAGCAAAGCAGTACTTCCTAGCCTCATACCCTAGCAGTCTCTAGATGTGAGTCTTTCACCATCATGGCACAGGGATGCTAGCAAAACTGAGAGCTTGACCATGGTTTTCTGTTTCGATTCAATTTTTCCAAAGGAAAATCAGTTCTCTTTTTCAAATAAATCTTAAATTCCATTATTTTGAAAGACATTTCCTGATAATCTTATTGGGAGACAATTATCCATACATATTTTGACATTTCTGCTGAGTCAGGTCTTTCTGAGCAAAAAAGTTTGGTTAAAGATGATGGCATAGCAAAAATGCCTTCGGAAGCTGGAGATGGAGTATTGCTCCTGAAAGATTTAGGGACTTAATTCCTCTGAGCCAATTACTACATTGCCAGGATACTGACATACTCCTCCACTCCAGGAGAAGATTTGTATATATTTCAGAGTAACCATCTCTATTTCTCACATGAGATGGTGGACTGAGGTGCTAGCCACCTAAAATAACTTAGAGACTCATGATTTGAGTCAGTAGGACTGTGCTGGTTATTCAGGGTAACTCTAAACTCTCACCACATCACTCCATGGGGGTAGGGGCTGCAGAATAAATGCTAACAGGTTCCATGGGTAAGAGACAGTCTGTTCTCTGATTCAGAGACCCTATCTTTCCTGTCAGTGTATCTATATATCTGTTTATCTATCTATCACCAACTTATCTATTACCTATTTATATATCATCTATCTGTCTTATACATACATAAATACACACACACACACTCTTCATGTAAATAAATTTTATTGTATGCCATATTTTAAGAGTAATTCTCAAATACTGTGTTTTATATTTTTAGATGTGAGACTAACCTTTCAATTCTACCCAGCAAATATTTTAAAAATTTACTAAATCTTATTAGCATATTTTTACTAGACATTCAGGGGAAAATAACCCATTTTTAGATGGCTAGATAGTGTGTGGGATGATTCTTAACACCTCTACAAAAGTCATTGCCAAAATGTGTATATATATGTATGTGTATATATATATATATCTGTCAATTTCAAATCATAAGCAAATTCCACAAAGATGACAGTAAGTATTCCCCAGTTAGAAATGAACCACCACTCAGATAGTAAAATCCTGTGTGTTTGGAGAAAACTGAAGACCTGCTAGACAGAGTCTAACTCTGCCAGGCTCTACTTCACAAGCTACACTCCCACCCCACAGTGGCTTCAGCTTTGTCATTATAGGTTATTCCTTTGGCATATAAATCTAATGTTTGGAACATATAAATTAAAATATTTCCTAACCAAAAATGTATTTGTGTATCAACATTTTTTCCCCTTTTCTGTGAAGATCTAGATGAAAGAACATCATTGATAAATGGTTAAATGCCCAATTAAATACTGAAAGTTTTAAAGATCATCACTTTCTCAGACAAACTGAAAGGGACTTACCTGCAGTGTTGGAGAAGTCTTTTCCATTGTACCCCAGCTGAGCACCCAGACCTGGTCATGAGATTTGTCATAGTGCAATTTAACTGGGACAGGGTCTGTGCTTACTGCCTGTAACAGATAGGGGTTGAAAAAGTTTTCAGACCATAATATGAGTTTAAAACTTGGCCAGAAATTATGTAAAAATTCAAGAGCTTAGATGTAGGATTAATAAATGTATGTTGCTCATAGATGCACCTAGAGATTGTCATGCTGAGTGAAGTTAAGTCAGACAGAGAAGGAGAAATATCACATGACATCCCTTACATGCAGACTCTAAAAAGAAATGGTACAAATGAATTTATTTACAAAACAGAAACAGACTCACAGACTTAGAGAATGAATTTATGGTTGCATGGGCTGTAGGGAGAGTTAGGGAGTTTAGGATCAAATTTACACACAGCTGTATTTTAAATGGATGAAAAACAAAGTCCTACAATACAGTCCAGGAAACTGCTCAAAGTTATGTGGCAGTTTTGATGGGAGCGATAGATGTATATATATGACTGAGTCCCTTTGCTGTCCATCTGAAGCTATTACAGTACTTAATTGGCTATACTCCAATATAAAATTAAAAGTTTAAGAATGTATGCTGCCAATTAATTTTCTAAATCCTATTTTGATTAATTTGTAAATATGATACCTTACTCAAATATGGTTTTACATGATTTTATATAGTCTTATATTGATTCATTACCTATGCAAATTGTGTTTAACAGAGAAGCTATTTAGGAACTCAAGGTTTAAATGATTAATATGTGCATTTTAATCAGTTGTTGAGTACAGGTAAGAACTATATTTATACTATTAGATTTTTCTATCCTAATGCTAGTTATGGGATTTGACCATTAATAATGCTAAAAAACCAACAATCTAATATATAGTTGCAACTATAATGACAAATTACCTAATTTAGTTTCTTTAATGAGAAATCTAAAAGTACAGAAAAAAGAGAAGTGGCTTCTTGTACTATACTTGATACGATAAATGCATTTTTCTGCTAATATTTATACCTAGCATTTACGGAAAACAAAACTTCCAAAACATAAATTGCTGCCTGGAAGTTATTTCACTCACCTTAATTCCAAGCTATTGATATTATAAGCTAACACCCCATTACAGTAATTTCCTATAATAGTTACATATTTTCTAATATAATACATAAAACAAATTGTATTCAATAAAACAACCTTTATCCAATATTGAAAGCATTTTTTTTCCCTCCAGAACTCTATTGAATGACCTTAGAGAATTTCCCAAGTTAGTTCATAATGTAATCCTCTTCTCAAAGGGCTAAAAGTAAACAATAATTGTTGAGTATATAGAGATTCATATTTTAATTATCACAACAGCACCTTGGTTTTACTGAAGTATTTCTTTTCTAAAATGTTGGCCTGTATTTTAGCTATTTAAAATTCTCAATATATAACATTTGAAGTAATTATTAGATTTCTGAAAAGACCTGTTTAAACATTTCTGGGTTGGTGTCTTCAGCCCTTTTTTTCTAGCTAACAGAGCCATTAAAATACTTTGGTTTCAGGTGGGCAGCGATGTTGTTGGGGAATGTAGTCCACTTGGAGAGCAGCAGAGATTCAAGTCAACGATTAAGCTTATTTCCCTTTGACAAGTGTGAAATTTCCCAGCCTTCGTAGAGATTAGGGGAGTCACTTGGCATATCCTAGTTAAGATGATGAATGATTTTTGAAAATAAAGCATTTCCATGGAAAGAGATAATAGCAGGAGACTTCCATGCATCATACTTTCTTTTCTTCCTGCTTGGAATGTTATCATTTGAGGATATTAATCCTCAACTTCTAAAGACTTCACACTCCATTTTATGCTAGTGTAGCTCCGCAGGTAAAGAATCCACCTGCAATGCAGGAGACACAGACAGGACAGTATTGATCCCTGGGTTGGGAAGATCCTTTAGGGAGGAAATGGCAACCTACTCCAGTATTCTTGCCGGGGAAATTACATAGACAGAGGAGGGTTACAGTCCATGAGGTCACAAAGAGTTGGACATGACTGAGCAACTAAGCACAAAGCAAGATGCCTTTGATTTTTCATATTTTCCCTTTTATGTTAAACTTGATCTATGTATGATTATGATGAACTATGGACGGAGGTCTGTAACATTGTACAGGAGACAGGGATCAAGACCATCCCCATGGAAAAGAAATGCAAAAAAGCAAAATGGCTGTCTGAGGAGGCCTTACAAATAGCTGTGAAAAGAAGAGAAGCAAAAAGCAAAGGAGAGCCAGGCTTCAGCAATATGTGAACCGTGAACTTCAGATGTTCAAGCTGGTTTTAGAAAAGGCAGAGGAACCAGAAATCAAATTGCCAACATCCGCTGGATCATCAAAAAAACAAAAGAGATTAAAAAAAAACACACCTATTTCTCCTTTATTGACTATGCCAAAGCCTTTGACTGTGTGGATCACAATAAACTGTGGAAAATTCTGAAAGAGATGGGAATACCAGACTATCTGACCTGCCTCTTGAGAAACCTAAATGCAGGTGAGGAAGCAACAGATAGAACTGGACATGGAACAACAGACTGGTTCCAAATAGGAAAAAGAGTACATCAAGGCTGTATATTGTCACCCTGCATGCTGCGATTCATGGGGTCGCAAGGAGTTGGACAGGACTGGGCGATTGAACTGAACTGAATGTATGATTAATAATCAGCCTACTTTGCAAGTAACTTAAATTGGAATAATATTTAGGCTTTTACCAACTGAGCTGTGATGGAAGCCTGAAATAGTTCAACAGGCAACAATACCACAATAACAAAGACCTCGTTGTTACTCAATTGTTAAGATGTAGTTATAAAAATAGAAAAGATCGTTAGCTAGCTTTTATGTAGCAGGAAACAATCTGAATAAGAATTTTTAGTTTGCCAGCTCATATAAGTTTCTTTTTTCACCTGGCCATTCATAAATATTATCTTTTAAAGGATATACTGGGCTTCCCTGTTATGTCTGCCAATGCAGGAGATGTGGGTTCAATCCCTGATTCAGGAAGATCCCCTGGACAGAGGAGCATGGCGGGCTACATTTCATAGGGACTCAAAAGAGTCGGACATGACTTGGAGACTAAACAATAACAAAGTGTATAATAGCACCGTCCATAGTTAATATCCATAGTTAACATACAGTCCATAGTTGACATAGTTCTGTTAATATCCCCATGAAATGGATAAGAAAACTGAGACATTTGTTTCGCACATAGCCATCAGCAAGTGATCAGCAGACTAGTATTCGGGTCTGTGTTCTTTCCCAAAGTGGGGACCTCCCTACCTATGAAAGAGCAGCCCCTCTTGCTGACAAGTTTCATTCCTGACAATGTCTGGATTGAATAGGTTGCCTTCCTATTTATGCTTCATGGACAGGAAATATTCTTTTTTGTTTTTTCTTTTTTGGAAGGTGAGGAAAAACCCACGGGGCCCAAATATATGCAGTAGCATTTATATAAGTAGTATAATCCCAGGGGAAAAGCATCAAAAGGCAGTATATACCATGTTTGCCTGCATGCCGAGTCTCTTCAGCCGTATCCTACTCTTTGAGACCCTAGGGACTCTAGCCCACCAGGCTCCTCTGCCTGGGACTCTCCAGGCAAGAATACTAGAGTGAGTTGCCATGCCCTCCTCCAGAGGATCTTCCCAACCCAGGGATCGGATCCACGTCTTTTATGTCTCTTGCATTGATAGGCAGATACTTTGCCATTAGTCCCACCTGGGAAGCCCCACACACCATGGTTATGAACATGTATTCTGAAACTGACTTCAAATTTTACTGTCTTCATTTAAACTGAAATAACAATAATGAAAATAACACTTTGGGATGTCACTAAACTTACTGTGACTCAGTTTCCTCTATAATAAAATGGAGACAATAATAACACCTACTTCAAAGGGTTCCTGTAAATATTAGGTAAGGTGGTAAATATAAAGTGCCCAGGTAAGTCTGGTGAGTGTTAAACACTATAAAAATACCACTGCTACTACTATTAGAAAAAACTAACTGTACTAAAGTACATGGCAGTGTCATAGTGCTTTAGAGATGTAATGTCTTTACTTAGCAAATGAAGACTTTAATAATTCTTTAATAATTTAATAATTAATAACCATAGTCTTTAATAATCACAGTCTTAGTCCTGGAAGTGTTTATAGGTGACAGGGTGAAATAACTTAAAATAACTAGATGCATGTCTGGTTAACAAAAATACAGGGCAGTTGCCATGGAAGACCAAAGGAAGATGTAAGAACAGGATGAGGGAGAAGAGGAGGTGATGATTTCACTGAGCCTTAAACTATGAACATTTTCTTTTATAAATGGCAAGCACAGACTATTTTTAAAAGTTAACTTATGAGAATATGTCCCAGGAGGTGTCAGAAGTTGTTCACGATTAATCTCCTCCAAATAATTTAAGATATATGTTTTTGAAGGAAGAAAATATAAGTTTTCAAAGCAACTTCAGAATTTGAGAGATGTTTATTCAATGCCCTCCAAAATGTGTGAACAATTTTCTTTTCCAGCATTTCACAGGTTTGGTATTAAATTCAGTTTATTTTGCATTTTGTTTATAAAAGCTCACCAGAACTGAAAAAGACATTCAGATAAAAATGAAGAAAAGTACTTTTGACGTACTTTATTTGGAAGGTGTTTAACTCCTAGGAAAAATCTCTTTACAATTTTCAAGTGTGGTGATATAACCCATTTTACAGAGGCGACATTGACATGGTTTTCAGCAATGAAATCATACAACCATGACAAAAATATTTCCAAACAATTGTATTGAGGATAATCTCATCGTAACCCAATTTTCAGCCAAAAACTGATATTTTCCTACTTATATGGCCAACCTTTGACAGGATAAATTACAGGTGTTGGATTTTATAAATTATTTGCTAGTCTTCTTTGGAAATTACTTAAACCATCAGTCAGTTTAGACCATCAGTTTTTGTAAAAGAACAGCTCTATATTTGACACTTAAAAATTCTTGCCACAATTAAGCCTCCGTGTTATAAAGCAGTTCCTTTCTTCACAGTTTTAAAGAAGATTGTACAGATT